ATGATCAAGCAAATCTGATTCAATTCAACTTATACAAAATTATAACTATACTTTCTATTAATAATGTTCAGCTTTAATACTTAACAATGAACTTGAACAATGTATACTTTCCTTTCCAAAACTGCATTAATTTCTATATCCCCCTAACATTCATAGTTACAAAGTCTACATCATCATATTACTTTTCTAGAAAAAAATCATATCAAAATATTATAAACTAAGATCATTTTTCTTTAACTTACTTTGTCTAATATTTGGGCAACGAAATACAACTAGAATTAACGTCACAAAATCTCATGAAATGTCACAACTGAACACTGATATATAATGATGACAAATGCATTTTTTTAAGGAAGAACAGCTTAGAGAAAGCTATCTGGAATCAAAAATCTAAACTATTTTATGTAATAAATAATTATGATTATATTTTACTATTTCCAAATAGTTCCATACTTTATGGTGCCCATTGTGTCTAGTTTTATGTTTAATTATCTAAGTTACCTAAGTATTTTGCCACACTCTGCAAGGGGCCTTCAGAATTTAGAACTTAAGCATATCCACTTACATTGAAGAACATATGTATTTTTTTCTACATATACTTATAAAAGAATGCTTAAATAGAAACTGTGAGAAAATACGATTCTAAATACTATCAGATCTCTCAGTACATAGGTGTTTACCACATTTTCTATTTAAGATAAATAACTTAGATTGTCTAGATTCTTGAGTAGTTAATAATGGCATATGAAATTAACATGTTTAATGGTAGTACTGGCAATCAATATCACCTTTTGTTCAACGTAATCAATAGCGCTTCAAATTGATTAGCTTCACTGAAATGATGCCTAATACCAGATACCAATTGCAAGGGATTAGAAGCAAATTTGAATTATTATTTTGTTTTGTTCATAGTAATACTGTTCCAGTGTTTATATCTTAAGATCAAGAAAAAATGGTTCAAAGTAATCCCTCTGGTAAGTGATTAAATAATTGTGACTATGCGATGATGACATAGAAACTAGTTTTTGTTGTTGGCTTGTTTGTTGTCTTTTTAACAAAGTCTTGCCTTTTATCCCCTTTCATCTAAGACATTTTTAAATATGGAAAAGTTGGTATAGATAATTTTTTGAAAGTTCTTGTAGATCTCCACAGACTGTAAGTTTGTAATATTGGTCAATCTAAGTAAGGCTCAATTTAAGACTACAGAAATGTGAGTCTGAGACATGATTTAGCAATACACATTTAAACATAAATTTCCAAAAACATGATGTTCTTTAGACATTGAATTTGCTATACAAATTTTAAATGTCGCACAAAATTCACCTCATGCTAAGTTATAGAGATCTAGATGGATCTTCCATCTAATTCTGATTATTTCCTTGATTTCTTTATGTCACTTTATTTTCTGCACATAAAGTGAGGTTTTTCCCTAGTGTGATTGCATATCTATAAATATTGTCTAGGTATAATAGAAGATAAAAAATTGAAAAACAGGATAGAAAATATAATTATATGTTTGCTAGCTGTAGATCACTTCGAATGTTTGAAGTTACTAACAGACAAGTTCTAAATATTCAATAGGAATCCTATGACTGTAAGTGGTTATTCCAGGCAGCAAGTCATAAAAAACAGAATTAAAAAATTTATAATTTTAAAATCATGACGTAAATTTCAGCAACTCCACTCCCAGTGTGTCAGTGAGAAATGTAATCATGTATTTTGAATTTAGGTTACCTTGCCTTTAAATCAGAATATTCAAGAAAGGGTTAATAAATACAAGTTCCTAACAAAGAACTTGTTATTTTAAGAAATAATTACTTTCATTTACCATATTCCCAAGTCTTTATGAAATAAAGTGCATTTCTTGGAGATTCATTGAGCGCTAAAGCAATTGTTTATATAAAAATGCTTGATGAAAGTTATACATTTATATCACAAGGCCAAGTTGGAATAGGATAATTTGGAGTCATAATTTTTCCAACAAATAACAAATAATTATGCATTTTAAAGAGTTAGGAAAATATCATTAGCAATGCTAATAATATAATGAGGAAAATAATTTGGTGTCGACGACATTGTAGTCCAAAGTCTGATGAACCCTTGATGTAATCTCTAACACATCATCTACTCTTAGGAGCCTTAGTTTCTTTTGCACAATAAAGAGATTTAATGTATTTTAAGGTCCTCTTCCAATTCTAAGGAAGTAACATCATAAAAGTGTGCTTGGCATATCATCAATGTTGGGTAAATATTTGGTGAATAAATGAATTAATTTAAAATTCAGCATCTATCTTTAAGTCTCCAGGAAGTAGAAAGAAGATATTTTTAAATTGAAAGAAAAAAAGACTGTTAATGTGTAGGGAAGTCTTTTATGTGCTTTTATTGGAGGAATATTTGGCTTTCTGTGATCTGAGATCAATCAGAAAAGAATAAAAGCCAAACAGTTTTGATTATGGCCAGTGGATGTAAATAAAAGAGATGTACTTTCAAGAGAATTCAAGATATTGTGATCATAACTTACAGATAACCCAAAATGTCAGAGGATGTGTGGCTTACATCCCCATTAATTTCATCTTTGGCTTAAGCAGATGGATTTCTTTACTTAAAAAATAAGCAACAAAACAAAAACAAAAACAAAAACAGAAGCTAGTAATTTAAAAGTATCCTTTCCAGAGGTTTGGATATTTTTGAAAGGCTGAAACAGCAAAATCCCCTACCCGTCCATGTTATTACCACAGATATATTGGTCAAAAGTGGTTGAGGTGGTCAATATATAAATATAGAAGAGTCAGCCATGTGTAACAATGACATATAAAAAGAGAAGAAGAAAGTCTTTAGTGACTAAGTATAGAATAAAATGTGTCTTGGAAAATGTTATTGTATTATGTTCAATATGAATTGAAAATGGGATAATATATAAGTGAATCTCTGAAGAGTACAATATTAAGTGAAATGAGCAAAGAAAAAATAACACTAAAAATGCACACAAAGAATAAATGCATATGATTGATTCAACCACTAAGAAGAAGGATTAATTCTGTCAGAATGTATAATCTGACCTTCCTGGGCACAATCACAGAATCTTTTATTTGCTCATATTAGCATGTCATTGATAGTCAGAATATCACATAATCAGTGTATTGGAGATCCACAAATTCTGCCACCATCCTAGTCGTTCATCAATGGCAGATCCATCGCTCCAGAAAACATAGAGTGTGGTTTCGTAATGGTAAGAACAAGGTGCGAAACACTCATGGTAGGGGAAAGCAGTAATGTTTTCAGGAAAACAATAACAATAAAATTCCAGTACACTAAGAGATGAAGGGGAGAGTTGCAATTAAGAAGAGATGGTGGTAAGAGACTGAAGGAAGTTCAACCCTTATCTTGTTGTATTTTATGAAGGATGCTACACATTATGTTATATATTATAAAAAAAAAAAAACAGAGTAGTAGATGGGACTATCACAGGGAAGGAAAGCTGAAAGTAGACCAGCCTGTGGATAGGGGACATTTGTTTTCCTTTTGAGACACTGAACTTTCAAGTACCTTGGACACTAAATTAGATAAAGCTATATGATTATCTGAAGCAACTAAGACTTGAATGAGTTATAGAGATTGCTTTATAAAGAGCCAACGATTATATTAAAGAGTTCCCTTAAGTTGAGAGCACTGCCTAGAAGAGAGAAGATACTGGAAGCAGCAATGGTGTGGAGAGTGTACATGAGCATTTACACGGCCACAACAGAGCTTGAGGACATTTAGCGGTATCCTAAAAAACAAAACAAAACAAAACAAAACAAAACAAAAAACTGTCTCATGAGTATTTATACAAATCCAAATGGAATTTAGAAAAAGTTTGAAATATGATATATATATTCTTTAACTGCAGCACACATCATGACAATATACAACTTTGTTAGGACTCACAGCATGAACAAGCTGATCACTATACAATTCAGTATTTAAAGCTAACCTTTAGAAAAGAAAATTTGATATTATCCCAATTTTAAATTATTTCTGCCAAATGCATAAAATACGAATCAGTTACTAGAAATCTCAACAATAAAAAGTGTTCCTGTGCATCAAGAACACTAGGGCATGATTCTTCATGAAATTGTATGCTCTTTATAATAAGCAAAAACAAGGACAGTTTTGGAGTTGTTGAATAATACAGTTATTGCCAGTCAATATTCAAAAATTACTGAGCTCAAAATGCAAAACAATGGTGGGATTATGGTAGTGAGGCATTTTAGGGCTCGCTTTGAAGACTTACCTTCATTTTAAAAAGAAAAAAAAAGCTCTTTTGTGCTCTTTAGTGTTCATGTTGTTAGATTTAATTTCTTACCTAAAATACATGCTTGACTATAAATGGTACCTTCTGATTTTGCTCTTTCCTAACAATATACTCTCAGCAATATACATATTTAGATCTTCTAAGTGTTTAATCAACTCCCTTTAGTATTCTAAATATGATTTTGCTCAGCAGATTTGTGTTATTAAAATGTATATAATGGCACAGAGGACATTTGGAAACACACATGGGAATTAGAGAACCTTATTTACTGATAACATTCAACTAATCAATTTTAACTGTACCTTGCAGTAACTGCCACAAAAAAATGAGTAGGTAAATATTCTTAAGTTTTAAGAATGACACATTTGATTATCCATGATTTTATTTATACATCTTTCTTGCATTAGACTGGGCTTCAAACATTCAATAAAACACATTTACTGTGTCCAAGATTAAATCATACATTGTTTAAAATTAATTATTCCTTTTTAATTGCACTGTATAAACAGAAATGACCTGTTAATTTAAAGAAAATCTATCAGCGCAAAATGAATTCACTCGTATAAACAAGCAAGATGAACTTGACCTTGTTTGAACTTGTTTTGATGTGGCCCAGATGGTAGGCTACATGCTTGAATAGCAGGCTAAAGCTGAGGAAAAACTCATATAGCAAGATCTAGATTTATAGCCTTCTGCAAATGCCTACCTTGTATTGTCCTTTCAGCATCTGCTCTGCTGCCACTGCGGTCAGCTTCTATCTCTGGGGTCAGAGAGTCTAAAAGCACAAAAAGGTAAGAGTGACACATATTTCATTTGATTCCTATTGTCCTTTAAAAAAAAAAGAGCAACCTGTTACTTCGGTGCTGAATTAAAATTACATAAATCTTTGTCATCTTTTAAAGGTTGAACAAAAGGTATAAAGATAAGAATTTGTACAGATTCGAGTAGATAAGTGAATAGCACAATCTTGTTCATAAAATAGGATAGAGGCTGGGAACAGATTAATATTTTCTTATGTTCCAGCGGAGATACATTTGATTAAACAGAGAGGTATCACCAGGTTTCAGACACGTGTGAAGTACAAAAGCAGTGGAAACACCTCAGAAATAAAGATTTCCGATCACATGCTTCTCACCTGTTTTTCACTATAAGAATAGTTGAATACATCAGGAAATGGTGGGATGTGCAAATACAAGGTCTCAATTGCCTTTTCAGTATGAAAAAGAAAAGGATCATACACAAACGGACACCCTCTTACCATTTAAGACCCTGAGACCATCTGTTGAAGCTGCCTGCTTTAGCGTCTGCTCTGCTTGCTCACGCCGTTTTGTCTCAAATTCGAGTGCTTCTTGTAATTTTCTCTTGGCCTTTTTCTCTTTCTTTAGCCTCTTTTGAACTATGGCTAGAAGAGAGCATAAATACACTGTTTTTTTTTTCTTTTTGCAACATTGTTTTATTTCAAATGACTACCACTTTATGACTCAGTTCCTCCTGAAATGAGTCTACTTTCCCAGAAAAAGTTAAAAAAAAAAACTACCTTTACCAATAAAATGTCTAATTTTTATTTCAGCCTTGAACCATTATAAGAATGCCTTTACTTGTCATGTGTAGAGATAAATTTAATAGGAAGCTAATTTTAGTAAACATTTGTATTCAGTGATAAAGAACGCTTGATTAAATGAATGTTTTGGTTGAGTTCTCTGCCCTTGAATTAGAACAGGGCAGACTGGTTTGAATGGTGCAGGCTTTCACAAGTGTGCCTCCTGTCTCCTTACCAGGAGTTGTTTTAGAATAGCCAATGGAGTATTTCCTCTCTGAAGCTTTGGAAACAATGATTCTTACATTTCTGAGTCCAGAGTTTAGAATATGCAAGAAATATTTTGTATATGAGCAAAATACTCTCAGCTATTAACAAGGAGATGAAGAAATGTAGTTCTTTTGATGAAACTATTACAATTTTGTTAGGGGAGAATCTGTTCTTAGCCAATTCACACCATCATAATACTTTAAGAAAGTTACAACACTTTCACTTTTCAGTAATCAGGTGAAGTATGAAACTTCACTGCTAAAAACAATACACTAATGACAACAAAATAGCTTTCATATAAAGCACTTTATAATACAAAATGCTGACTATTACACATTGTTCTGCCATTTGACAATTGAAACATTTGCAAATAATGTATAACAAATATGTAATAACATACTTTTCTCAAAGTATATATTGTACTTTCAGTTTCATAGTCATCTTAACTTTTACTAAATAGCATAAGTAACCAACTTATTGGAAGGACATATGTGTTCTTTGAACTCATTTTTTCTGGTAATTGATAAACACTATAGATCAATGTGATAGAATCAGCATACAAGTAAATTCTGCTTGTTATGACATGACAGGAAATCATTCCAACTTTACTATTTGCCTTCTTTCTACAGATGAATGAAAAACATTGTTTTCATCCTACACGATATGCAGTTAAAGTATAAAGTAAGTAAAAATAAATCAAACGCATATGGTTTCATTTCTGAATTCCATACGTTCCATTTTTATCATTATTGATATTGCTAAAATAGCAGCCCATTAACTTACTGAGTTTGTTGTTATAGTTTCATGTGAATTCATGATTACCTTGACAAAATTATTTGGGTACTATTTCCCTTTCCAAAGACAATTGCTTATATAAGCCTCCATGGAAAAAAACAGTAAAAATATTTTTATGAGCTGTAGCCCTCCCGGCTCTAGAATCTCAACATCGAGTGCTTTATCATGACTGCTCATTTTTCTTTCTGTAAGACTGTATCAAAGCAGGTAGGTTGCCACTCAGTCTCTTTAGAGTAATGCATGGCTTGGAGAGGCACATTAATAATATACAAGTATTGTTATTATTATCTTTAATTTACCATTCATTATTAATTAAATGGGAAGTTTCTTGGTGTGATCTGTGAATGTTTTGCCCTCTAGTGGCTAAACAAATAAAATAGAATGGACATTTAACAGGCTTGAACCAATCAAATGTTAAAGGTTTCAAAAGTAAACAAACGTCGGTATTTGAAGGGCCTGTCCTTAGTAATTATTACAAAAGACTTGTTCAATTGAGCACAAAAATCAGGAAATGGCTTGTTTCCTGGAAGGTGTTCTATCAACTGAACCATTTGGCCAAACATCATTATTTACTTAGAACAAGTCCATTTATAATGTTTATCTGGTCTTGAGTTTTAGTAACAAAAACTATGTGAAGCTACTACAATTATGCCTTCACCTGAGGTCACAGGTTCCCAAATGAAATTCATGCTGGGGACCCACCAGCTGTTGCCTCAAAGTAACCCCTTAAGCAGTCTGGTAAGCCCTGGTAGTTTTAATAGCAAAATAGCATAATGATGTTTAAAATGACAATGTCAATATACATAAAAACAGGATATGGAGAGCAATAATACTGGATATTATTAAATGAGTAAAAATGAGTTCTCTGTCCTACAGTACTTGAGAAATATTATAGTTGAAGCATAAGGGGAATTGGTTGTAAAGGAAATGCTCTTCAAATTCATACATAAAATGAACATATAATCTTGAGTGACCTTCAGAATTAGGCATGGATGTATCATAAAGTGTGTTAAAAGAACAGTTCACAGATCAATAAAAGTAATATTTGCATTCGAAAAGAACTCATATAACATTTTGCTGTTTGTGTTTGACCTTGTTGAATGGTCATAAATATTCACAAAGAAACTCATACAAACATTTAACTTTGTTAAGATATTCATTTGTTCAGATATTCATCAGTCCTCAATTTCAGTTGATAAATATCTCACCAATCTTTCTTCACTTTAAATAACCGGTGTTTTCCATGTCTGTTTTACAACTTTAGCTCATAACATTTTCAAAGGACAATTGTGAATGAACAGAATTTTTTTTTTCTTTATGGTTGTCATCTTATCAATGCTCATTGCTATCTTAAAAATATAAATTCATTAGCCTCTAAAGGCAATAAAATTAAATGATTAATAATATAATGGACATATTTTAGTTGCCTGTAGTAGAGACAAAAGAGAAAGCCTATATTCTGGAGATTAAGATATACAAAGAGCCCAAGATTCCAATTTTGTCCTGAACTTCAGCTACAAATAAGTTAAAAAGTTACAGAATCAAAGTGAAACACTTAGCATAGTACTATTACGTTGATTGTTTTCCTTAACGTTTTACACTTATTTGGAAATACCTCTGTTCTTTTGTTCCATAGCCAACTGCTTCTCAAGTGTTTCTCGAAGTTCTCTTTCCCTTAAAAAATCCATCTTCAGCTCTGTTTTTTCCAGTTGAACCTGTTTTTCTTGAGCTCTGGCATTATCTATGGCAACTTTCAGGAGCCCCTGCACAAAGAAGGTATTCTCATCTGTAATATGCTTTAGTACACAATATATTTCATTCATTCCTTAAACATCATGCTAAAGCAAGAAGAACCCTCTTATCAACTTTAGTCCTCATACACACACACATGCTAAAACACAGTATCAGTGAAACATGAAATGTCTCAACCTAATTAAACTATTTTAGAAAGAACAACGTTTATGGCATGAGGTTAGCTGAGTCCAGCACTAAACAGAAGATGTACGTAAGTGCATCTGTAAAACAAGAATTGAGCAAAACCTTAGCCTGAAATCCTTGCACAGGTAAGTATCTGATGCAACCCCGCGGGATGCTGCAGTGCTCTGCTCCAGTTCACTTCCTTCCCTCTGACAAGACTACACAGGCAGCAATGTCTTTTGGTTCCTCCTCATTGCAACCATTTGTTTCTGCTCTTTGTGTCCAATCGCACTTCTGAATGTTTTTCCTCCAGGATTTGACATGGCTCACAGCCCTATTTTACTTCATCTTTTCTCAGCATCGCCATAGCTATTTGTCTTATCCTCTCTCTGAAACACTCCTCCAAATGTAGTTTGTTATTCCTTCAAATTCTTCATGGTATTTACCACTATTACACTAAGGCTACAAATTTACTTCCTGACTGATTTATTTGGTGACTTTTCCACTCTAATGTAAACTCTCCCAAAGGCATGAATAGTTCTTCCTTTTTCCTATTATATACTTGGTAGGAACTAGAAGTATATTGCAGATTTTTAAACTTTATGAATAGAAACCTTGAATTCCTATTTTTTTTTCTTTTACAAAATGCAATATATTTAAAGGATCTCAAATGTAATATGCCATTTGTTTAAAGCATCCGGTATGTTTGTAACAAGCTGGGAACACTTTTAGGAAACTGTTAGCATAAGTCAAAGGGCATATGGTAAGCATAAGTTTTATTTATCATGCATATGATTATCGAGAAATATATTTGTATATTTATTGACTTTGTGCTATTGAAGTTTAGTTATGTTTTGGGATTTTAAAAAATGAGTTTATAAGAATATTAAATATATAAAAAGCGCACTTTATATTTTCTCTCTTAAGATGCTACATGCCAGAAAATTTTGTAAAAATTAGAGCTAAATATTGTGACCAATTACACCACCAAATGGTATTATTTTGACTGATGAATAGCAGAGACTAAATTTTCAAATGAAATATAGATGTACTTAGGGGATCCAACCCTCCTGCCAGAGACAACAAGAGCACATTGAATCAGGAATTTAAACTCCAGCTTGGTTTGTAATCCCAGCAGAGATAAAACCTTACTTCAGCCAACGGGACAGCTTCAGCATTGTCAAAAGCCGTTTTCATTCACTTTTCAAGCACACATTTCATATTTGCTATATCTGATCCTGAATATCCTGTGATAATCCCTGTGATCTGAAATCAGCTGGAGGAGGATTTCCAAGCAGCAGCTTGTCCCTCCACGGTCTTTTGTTATTTTTACAGTAAACCATAGCTGCTAAGGAAACTGCCATCTTAACCGATCCAGCAACATTCCTCTGTATGTTTCTTCTTCATCAGGAACAAACAATTAGTAACAAATGAAAGAGATCATTACATCAAGTGCCCTTTTAGATCACCCCAATTAAAACTTTAGTTTAGCTGTATTTTAATTCTAAGATACCAAATTCTAATTTTCTGCTCTGATTGCTCTTGTTGACTTCTCTTTGAAAGATGTACTCTCTGTGCAATGTCTAGAGATTATTTAGCAAGATGCCAATGTTGGCACCACTTAATGTGTTGATTGGTTGTATTATCAGTAGCTGTTTAAAATAAATTACTATTAAACTATTATTGTCCTTTGCTGACAAAACACAATATTTTGGTGTTCTTTAAATATGAAACAATCACTATGAATAAACATGTTGAATAATGTGAAATGGCAACTCTAATTTGTGTACTTTTGTATTAATATTCCTTTGTAAAGAATGAAGTTGCTAAGAGCATTTATGATGACTGCTTCCTTTTGTTACAGTTGTTGCTAATGTGGCTAATGGCAATACATTACCTATTCCTGCTGATTATGTCTGAAAAATACTAGCTTTTACTACCCAATACCCTGTAGGGAATACTTATAAGCTATATAAAATTAAATTTCATTTTTAAGCTTTACATCAGTGCACATCAGTAGGAGTCCAGTATAAACAAAAATCTGCACTGAAGCCAAACTGATGCATATATGAAAGTATATTATTATTGCCACTGACAGCTCTGCTGCAAAAAAAAAAAAAAAAAACAGAAAACTGATTACATTTCAATGCAGCAGTGAGCTCAATAAGCAGTATCAAATGGTGTTCACAAAATGTACAAATCATTAGAACAGTAGGCTAACCATCAGTAATAATAGTAATACTTCTGAGTTGGTATGTACAACTTCTGTAAATTTTCCAGGTAGATTCATACTAAATTTTGGTCTCTCAGGGACGTATAGCATCCAGCAAAATGCTGTGACAGCAAAGATTTCAGTAAAAGATAGAAAACTTAAAACATAAAATTTTCTCCAACAATAAACCAGTTCTTAAAATGCTGAAATTGGATGACAACAATGTGAAAGAAAAGAATTTTAAGCCAAATTCATGGAAAACCAATGACAAGAGGTAAACATGTGTTTCAATATATTCTCACAGATGAACTAAATAATGGAGACTAGCATTCCAGGAAGTGAAGCCACATTGCTGTAGGCATCTCTACTGAATGAAAGGAGAACTCACATCGAAAATACTAAATATACATTGACAATAGGATACTAAACTTTCTACCATTGTCTATGCCTACAACACTATGATACAGTTAGACAGCAGAATGTTGGACTTGTGATTATTGCTGAAGGACAATATCATTGTAATAACATGGGAGAAAGTATGGTGGAGGGGCAGCAGGAGAGAATGTGGAGTGTAGAGGGGGAGATTAATTGGAGAATCCCTATACCTACAAAACCATATCATGGAAAAGAATAAAAAAAAAATTTAATGTTTCGGATTTGCCAAATTACAGTACGCCATGAATAAAATTAGTGGGTATTGAAACAACATTTTAAGCACATTATTTTCAAGGGAGGGGGTGGTGATCATTAGGTCTAATAAAACATAAAGGATTCTCAGAGGCTATATGGAACTTTAAACTTACCACACAAAAAGTATGTTTCCATTTTAACATGGAAAACAGAGAACACCTTTAGATAGGCTGAATATATTTACTCAAAACAGGATTTGGACAGTAAACAGACACACACACAATATGTCTAATATGTCAGGGACATGATTGTTTACCATTTTTGTTGATCCTGTTCTACCATGTTTAGAATATTAACAAAAGTCTATAAATGGAACAGTAATAAAGAATACCTGTGACCTTTTGTTAAAAAGAAGTGCACTCATTACTAGGCACATATTCAGTATCTGTGTGTATATTTGTGTAAGCGTGCATGTACACATGTGTTACACATATGTGTATATATATCTATGTATGCATGTGTGTGCAAGTATGTCTCTGCCTGGATTTCACTAAGATGCCTTATTTCTATTTTATCTTATGTACTTACATGTTGCTATTTGCACAGATATATGTAAACATTTAATATATACTTATCTCTAAATATGTTTATATGCATAAGACTGACTTGAACAAGGACAATTTAGTCTTAAAGACGCATTCAGATGCAACTCCCTAAATTTAGCTATCTTGACTGTATTATCATCTTTTGCTAAAATATGGCTTCAAGGCATAGGGGTTTTTTAGTTGTTTGTTTTGCTTTTAGGGCTGGCCCTTTCTTTTCCTATATTTTTAGTGCTGTGGATAACCTCTGCAGGCCTAGCACTGGATGAGCACTCACAAACTGGCAGTGAGTGACTTTTTGTGATCTCAAATACGGCAAGGATTTGTATGTAAACTGTGACTGCAGAAGAGCATGCTGTTCGACTCTGATGTAACCCAGAAATGTTTTCTCTCCAGGATAAGGAGCTCTACTGCATAGGGAATTCAGCAATGTTGAAGAATATACTTGAAAACATTTAACACAAAAAAAAAGAAAATTACTAAAACCTCTACCTCATGAAAACAGTAACGGATGAAATTTATATAAAAAAGTTATGTATCTTTTAAAATACAGTCAACTATTTGGCGATGATTAGCAGTTTAAGCAGCATGGATGATTTATTTCGATTACTGAGATCTAAAACCTTACAGTTGAATACAGTTCTGGAGACTGTAATTATATTTGTATTAGAGATGCCATATTAATAGATGAGAAGATATGCTATATTAGAGGCTTGCTGTTATAGCCTTAGAGAAATAAATAAAATTAATTACATTTCTACTAGGAAAAAGTTTCATATGGTAAGGAATGTATACAAAAAAAAAAAAATCAAACAGGAAGGATTGTTAAAATGAAAAAAACCCCAACATTTTAAAGTAACTTATAGGCACATTATCTGTAAGCTTATGCCTACAAGTAGCTACTACAAATACTGAGAAGTAGACGGCAAAAATCCCCATCTGGGAGCCACATGATGACTTCATGTGTGGGCAAGAAAATTATGTTTTCTTCTATTCCAAACACTCTTATTATCTTGGCTCCATGCTCTGTGTTATTGTTAACTGTGAGTATTTTTGATTCATAATGTACTGTACGTAAAATATACATCCTGAAGACCACATAGGAAATCCGTGCAAAGTTTGTATGCCTTTTTTGAAGTCTCCTCTTTGAAGAAACCTATTAATTGCAACAAACTTATTTACAAAAGAGTTTCTTTTATTCATCTATATTAGACATATTTTTAATGCTCAAACATATTTCCTCACTGAAAAGCTAGCAGTTTAAAAATAGCTAAATATTTATTAGAACTGGTATGTCATCATTTAATGGATCAGACAGACCTAAACAGTTAGATTCCTCCCATTAGTCAGCAACGAAAAGAGCAGTTAGGCTGAATTATTTTCAAAATTCCCTTGTCACTTTCATATACGTTTTTATTATGGTTTAAAGTTTAATGTACATATCTGAGTATCTCTGGACAATTTCGATTCAGTATGTTGTTTAAAATCTAAATCACAAAAAAAAAATTTTAACACCACGGTTCATTCAGCCTTATGAGCTGATTTAGTTGGAATAATATGAATCTTTGGGAGGGGGAGAAACTTCTGAAACTGAGTTTCTTGTTTTCCTTTTTTATAGATTGCACAAAGGCCTACCTGTATGTTAGTCAGAAGGGTCTCTATGGAAGACAGTCCATCAGGAAACAGAAAAGGAGATGGAAAACCTGGCGGTAGTGGTTGTCCATGCCCAGTTAGAGAAAGTTTGTCAAGGCTGTCTCTTGCAGTTGGCGTAGAAAGCGGGGTCTCATCTGTATGTGATTGAAACAAAAATATAGAACAAGTTACGCTTGTCTGTTTTTATTAGACCTCAGTAATGGCTTCCCTAGTGGTTTCCAGAACATTTATTGCAAATTGGTTCCTGCTATCAGGAGAAAATGCTTTCTGCTGAATTTTCTTTAATGAAAAAGCTGTGGAGATACAACAAGATAACATTAATGAGTAACTTTATAAGCCTTTTAAATGCAGTCTCTAATGAGACTGAGTTTACAGTGCCATAGAATCTTTTTAAAACAAATATTATCTCATATATAGTTGTGATAATATATTCAGGCTGGCTTTATGGACACCTTTCCAATTATCTCATTTTAGTTTGTTCTGTTTGGACTGACAATAGAATATTTCCAGAGCTTCATATAACAGACGGCTTTGTATGGGAGGATGTTTTTCTCAATTAACCCTTCCTTTCTACCAATGATTTGTTCAAATGTGCTCTTAAAGAATTTATAAACATGTACAATTAAAAGCTTTCATCCCATATGTAAAAAACCAGAATCCAGATCCCAATATTTTATATCTGAATTACAACTGAATTGTCTATTGTCATTGAAACGAAAGGACTTTGATCTAACTACCTTTTACCCTCATAACAAAATCAAAGATAGTTTTTCTATCTGAAAAAGTGTTCAGGAGAATAAAATACAAATTACATTAACGTATTTAGCAAATAAAACCTAAAAGTTCTCCAAGGTTAATTAGTCATTAATTTGTTTATGGAAATTCTTCAACATTTTAAGCAACATACAGTAATCCATTAACACAGAACCCTATTACGTTCACAAAGAAATCTTTTTGTTCAGTTCTTTAATATTTAACCATTTTACAGCTTCATATGCTCTAGTTACAAGTTATAGCTTATTTTATTTCATTATTATCACAAAAACTTTTATTCATGGCAGGATTTTCAATTTTATAAATATTTCTTTTTTTCACCCCAGGAAAATTAATCAGAGCACTGTGTTTGCACAGTCCTGATAGTATCGCTTCATTTTGCAAATGGCTAAAAATTTCTGCACACCTGTCTTCTGATTTAATTCACTGTTCTCCTCAGTTATTCTTTTATTCTTCATTACAACATCTAACCCATACACGTTTTCCAATTACTTCTCTCGGGAGCAGAAATAGTATGGAGGCTGCCACACTTTCTTGTCCCTCAGTATTGTCAAAACAAGTTGAATTCATCTCCCTCACCTCTCTACATTTCTGTGTAATGAAGCAAAAGTGAAGAAAGATGGGGAGGGGAGTAATGAATACAAGGCCTATTCCCAGCATCTCTCTCTCACTCACTCCTCTGCCATGTCTCCTCCACCCAGCCCTATATTAACAAACTGACAGATGATCAGGGGTACAGATACTGGATGAAGAAACAGAGGAAGCACCTAAAGTGGGACTCCTGGCATCATTATTTTCTTATCACACTTGTCATTAAGGTTAAACAAAGACTGCGACGCAGGGGTAGTGCCACCACATGGCTAATGTGAGCAAGGTGATCTTGGATACCATTTACCTGGGTCTCATAAATTACTCCAGACCAAAGCTGCTAGTGTTTTCTCATAGCGCTCCAAAAGGCACTTGTTAAACATCTCTGTGCATGTGAAATTGTTTAAGGATGGGCAGCAGTATTTTTTGATCAGTATCACCTTAGCTGTCACATGCTAAAGAAAATGTAGTTTAATAGATCATGGGCATAATAATTGCTTGTCTCTTGAAGAAAGGTCTTGTACCAGATGCCCACCTGAGCTTGCTTTCAGCATTATAGTCCATCGTTCCACAATTCTTAGACTGTCCAGCAAGAGAAGAAACACATGTACTTGCGCGAATACACATGCACAAATTTAACTGTAAGTTTCATCATTCCCACGATTATTTAACTCTAATGCATTTGTGCTTGACTATATTTGGCTGTGGTGTGAACTGAATCATTAAATCACTCATGATGTATACATTTATACAGTCAATATTTATTTAACATAAACAAAGTCTTAGACACTGGAGATAAAATGCTAAAAAATGGAAGTCTTAAAAATCTCATGTAGACTAGGGTAGCTAGTTGTTAAATAGCTAATTCTTGCAGTCAGCAAAAATACTTTGCCTTCCATCATTATTCATTTAGATATTTTATTTATCCAGCTATAGGGTTTAGCTGATTCTGTTTATGTCTGAGTGTGGGTTTCCTTGCCTGCATGCATAATTTTCTACAGTTGCTTCAGTGGCATGCGTGTCTTAGTCCTCACACTTCCAGCTGTCTGCAAATAGACTAATCTTTGATTTGAAATTATTGGGTTTCTATGTTGATCATTGTACATACTGAGAGGCTGCATAAACCCGCTTTAACTCCACCTATAGGCAAGAATAAAATATAGGGCAGACAGCCCCCACCAGAAATAGGGGCAACGGTGATTCTTAAGAAGAACACACATTTTGAAAAAAGACAAAATAATCAATAAGAAAATACACAACAAAAATACTTCTTTGTGCCTCAATACCCTATTATTTGAGAAAGTTGTTATATAGTAGCAATTAACATCATAGAAGGCCTCTTTCAGATCTTCCTACAAATGCTGCAAAATTGAGAACATGGCTCTTCCTTTTGAAGTGGAAGTGACCTTTGATATCCTAAATATTCTAGAAAGATTAAAGCAAAACTTTGAGAGTTCAGGCAATGTGGAAGAGAGTTTTGACATCCCATAATCCCCGCCTACTTCAAAGTGTGAATGAATGATGAAGCACAGATACATAAACTACTTTGATATGCCTGCACATATTTTTAAAAGCTAATCTTTAAAAGAAAGTTGGCTTGTCACATGCCATAATTCTTTGCTTATTATATTATTTGACAGTGCAATCTGTGTTTTAACATTTTACTTTTAAATAATTTAAACATGGAAAATTAGTAAGAGTTGTACAAATGATGATCACATACTCTTCTAGCTAATTGAAGAGTGACCTAGTGGAATAGTTACCTCCATGTTAAGTTTCTGAAAGCCAGGAATGTTATTTTATAAGCAAAAACAGCTTGCAAAAATGAAGAGATCATCCTGGTTTGGGGAGGGTACTAAATCCAATGCAAAGTCAGGGGAAGATTAGAAAGCAACAGAACATGTGGCGAGCAATTGGCAAAGTAGACGACGCTGTTGCCATTGCCTGTGACACCAGCATCACGTGTTTGTTCTGGCTCAAGTCCTGGCTGCTCTGCTTCTCATCCAGCACCCTACTGATGTGCTTGAATAAGAAGAGGAAGATAGCCTGAGTGCGTGACTTCCTGCCACCTACGTAGGAGACATGAATGAGGTTCAGGTTCCTTCTTTCTGCCTGACCCTGCTTCAGCTGCCACAGTCATTTTGAAAATGAGCCAGTGGATGGGAGATACCAATCTCTCTCTTCTCTTCTCTCTTTTTACCTTCAAAGAAATAAATAAAGATTTAAAAGGGAAACAGAAGACACAGAAGAGAGTAGAGGCAGAGAAGTTGTTATGCTGCAGTCCAGAGATGTGCACAAGCACCAGAAGCTCGAAGAAACAATGAATGGATTCGCCTTTTTTGCCTGAACACAGCCCTTATTCTTGATTCAGAGACACTGTGAGATAATTAATACTTTCTGGTTAAACTCTTAAATCTTGGCATAATTTGGGGCACATCCATGATAACAAAAACAGTATGTAATTTTTTAAAGAGTTTTGAATAGGGGCCCGGCGCGGTGGCACAAGTGGTTAAGGTCCTCGCCTTGCACGCCAGGGATCCCATATGGGCTCCGGTTCTATCCCAGCAGCCCCGCTTCCCATCCAGCTCCCCGCTTGTGGCCTGGGAAAGCAGTCAAGGACGGCCAAAAGCTTTGGGACCCTGCAACCGTGTGGGAGACCCGGAAGAGGCTCCTGGCTTTGGATCAGCATAGCATCGGCCGTTGTGCTCACTTGGGGAGTGAATCATCGAACGGAAGATCTTCCTCTCTGTCTCTCCTCTCTGTATATCTGCCTTTCCAATAAAAAAAAAAATAATAATAAAAAGTTTTGAATATATAAAAGAGTTAATTTATTATGCAGTTTCATTATTTAGGATACGTAACTATGTCTTTAGAATGTAGTTTCCTCATTAAAGACACATACAGTAGTGAAAGTATGGAAGCAACTCAGGTGTTCATCAAAAGGTGAATAGATAAAGGAACTGTGATACATTAACCCATGGAATACTGCTCAGCTGGTAAAAATGAAATTATACCATTGGCAACATAATGATCCCAACTAGAGATCATTATGCTCAGTGAAATAAGCCACTCCCCAAACGACAAATATCATATGAAGTCAACCATCATGTAAAATACATAGATGTATAGGCAAACACGCCATGCACATACAGTCATCTAGAGGAACTGTATAATTCAGACTATCATATAGAGAAATAAAGATACATTGCAGTGTGCATCTCTGCCTCCAATTCAAAGATGGACTCCCAATGAAACTGTTAAATATATGTTGATAGGATGCTGGACTCTCTGCCACTGTTCATACCAACAATTTCAGGATACACAGAAACAACAGAAAGATGGACTCATAACTGTTTTTAAAGGACTATACTGCTGTAACAATACAGGGGAAATTAGTGGGAGGGGGTGGGAAATTGGACACAGGGGAGGAGAAATCCCTGAGCTTATAAGAATGTATCATAAAATTAATTAATTAATTAATTAAAAACACAGGTTGACAAAAGAACACCACTCTTCATCATAATTGTTCATTAGAATTAATTCAGTAGAGGTTTCACTGTCAATGATTGGAAAATGGGAACATATCAGTTTGTAAGAGTGAATATTTCAGTCAGCTCTAAGGCAAGTACTTTTGATACTTATGAAGGTAAACTGGAAACAGAGAAAAATGCACCTTCCTGGTAATTAAGGAAGCATCCTCAAGAGTAACATTTATCAGGATGTTGTTTTAACTGGTACATAAAATTTGTACACATTTTTGGAGTACCATTTA